GTTTACATAACGAAGGAATTATTCATTGCGATTTGGTAATGTAACAATTTATTAGATATTTTTAGTTTGGATTTTTTCATGGCAACTAAAATAATAAATAATATTTCATATAGCACGCACAAAATGTACTTGTTCATCAAAATAATATAAAGTTAGCAGACTTTGGTTTATCACGAACAGTGATTGATGCTTCAAGTTATTCAACAGATGTCCATGGTGTCGTTCCTTATGTTGATCCAAAATATTTGAATAATGTTAAAATTAAAAATAAAAATCAACATTATATATTAAATCCAAAGTCTGATGTTTACAGTGTTGGAGTTCTTCTTTGGCAAATTTCAAGTGGGCATAGACCTTTTAATTGTGAAGAATACGATGTAAATTTAGTTATAAACATTAAAAAAGGCCGAAGAGAAATAACTGTCAAGGATACTCCTATCGAATATAGTAACTTATATAAAGGTAAATGGAGAGTTTTCGCGTAATGTAAATTATTGTAAAAAACTAATTTAAGTTATTAATTTTTATAAGCATGCTGGAAAAATGATCCAAACGAACGTCCTACTATGCAACAAGTTTTTAAGTCTTTTCAAACATTAATATTTGAAAAAAATAATGATGAAGTAGATTCCTTTATTCATTCAGAAAATAAAGCCGAATCAAGAGACGTAAGATGTATGCAAAGTAATAATTCTGAATTCTTTATAAGTGAATTAATGCAGGATTGCAATTTAGAAACAATATATAATGAATGCAATTCACAACATATTTTATATCAAGCAGAAAAGTTATTTTTGGAAATTTATGACATACAAGATAGTATAAATATCCTTATTGATAAGCTTATTAAGCTTTTAATTGTAACGCAGGATGAAGGGAATAATTTCGATGAAACTGACCATTTTATTAATCATTCTATTTTTCTTTCAAATCGAACTTCAAATGAGATTTTTGAATGGCTTCACGAAAATCAAGTGAAATCAAAATATCAATTTTTCTTGGGATATTTGTATTTCAGTAGTACCAATTTTGAGAAAAATTACAATAAAGCATTTAAATTATTTTTAAGTGCCTCCGAAAATAATAATCCTATTGCACAAGTTTATCTTGCAAATTGTTATAAAGAAGGATTTGGAACTGAGATAAATGAAGATCTCGCATTTAAATGGATGCAAAAAGCCGCAGGAAATGAAAGCATATATGGACAACTTAATCTTGGTAATTATTATGAAAACAGTATCGGAACAGATGAAAATTTATTTAAAACTTTTTATTGGTATCAAAAAGCAGCTAATAATGGAAATTTGTGCGGATTATTTAATGTAGGTAGATGTTATGAATTAGGAATAGGTATAGAAAAAAATGAAAATAAAGCATTTGACATATATAAGAAATTTCATGAAAAAGAATTTATAAATGGAAAATATAAACTTGGAATTTGTTATTATTTTGGAATTGGTACAGACATAAATAAAAAAGAAGCATTTAAAATATGTAATAATTTAGCTGAAAAGGGTTATGAAAAAGCACAATCATTTGTTGCTATTTTATATTATAATGGTATAGGAATTGAAAGGAATTTAGAAAAAGCATTTTATTGGTATCAAAAAGCAGTTGAAAATAATAATATAATTGCAATGAATAATTTAGCTTCATGTTATTTTAATGGAGAAGGAATTGACAAGAATTTAGAAAAAGCATTTAATTGGTATCAAAAAGCAGTAGAAAATAATAGTATAATTGCAATGAATAATTTAGCTTCATGTTATTATAATGGAGAAGGAACTGATAAGAATTTAGAAAAAGCATTTTATTGGTATCAAAAAGCAGCAGAAAATAACAATATAATTGCAATAAATAATTTAGGTATATGTTATTATAATGGAGAAGGAACTGAAAAGAATTTAGAAAAAGCATTTTATTGGTATCAAAAAGCATCAGAAAATGGTAATAGTAAAGCAATGAATAATATGGCTCTTTGTTATTATAATGGAGAAGGAATTGAAAATAATTTAGATAAAGCATTTTATTGGTATCAAAAGGCAGCAGAAAATGATAATATAGATGCAATGAATACTTTAGCCTTATATTATTTTAATGGAAAAGGAACTGAAAAGGATTTAGAAAAAGCATTTTATTGGTGTCAAAAAGCTGCAAAATATGATAATATGATTGCAATAAATAATTTAGCTCTTTGTTATTATAATGGAGAAGGAACTGAAAAGAATTTAGAAAAAGCATTTTATTGGTATCAAAAAGCTGCAGAAAATGAAATTAATAGTGCAATGAATAATTTAGCTTCATGTTATTATAATGGAGAAGGAACTGACAAGAATTTAGAAAAAGCATTTTATTGGTATCAAAAGGCAGCAGAAAATGATAATATATTTGCAATGTGTAATATAGCTTCATATTATTATAATGAACAAGGAACTGAAAAAAATTTAGAAAAGGCATTTTATTGGTATCAAAAAGCAGCAGAAAATGGTGATATAAATGCGCAAAATCAACTTGTAATTTTATATGAAAAAGGCGAAGTAAATGAGACAAATTTGAAACAAGTATTATATTGGTATCAGAAAGCAGCAGAAAATGGATATATTAGAGGACAGAATAATCTTGCATCTTTATTTAAAAAAGGTAAAGGAAAAGAAAAAAATTTAGAAAAAGCTTTTTATTGGTATCAGAAAGCAGCTGAAAATGATTATGAAATAGCAATGTATAATTTAGCTGAATGTTATCGAGATGGTAACGGAACAGACAAAAATTTAGAAAAGGCTATTTTCTGGTATCAAAAAGCAGCAGAAAATGGTAATGAAATTGCAATGTATAATTTAGCTAGATATTATCAATGTGGAGATGTTATAGAAAAGAACTTAGAATTATCCTTTTATTGGTATCACAAAGCAGCAGAAAATAATCATTTAGTTGCAATGTATGATGTAGCTTTATGTTATCATAATGGAAAAGGAATAGAAAAGAATTTAGAAAAAGCATTTTATTGGTATCTAAAGGCAGCAGAAAATGGCGATATAGATGCACAAAATATGCTCACAGTACTATATGAAAGTGGTGAAGGAATAAAAAGAGATTTGGAAATGAGTTTTTATTGGTGTCAAAAAGCTGCTGATAATGGAGATAATGTTGGATTGCTTAACTTAGGTGAAGTTTATGAATTTGGAAAAGGCAGTGTTAAAAAAGACGAATTTAAAGCTTTTGAGTTTTATAAAAAATCAGCGGAAAATGGATTTGAGGAAGCAAAATTTTGCCTCGGATATTGTTATATAAATGGTATTGGAACAGAAATTAATAAAGAAATAGGATTCAGATTATGTAACGAAGCTGCTAGAAAAAATGACAGTAATTTGAAATTATTATATGAAGATTATGATAAAATAGGGAATGATTTGAAAAAAGTTAATTATTGGTTTCATAAGACTGCGCAAAACGACAATAAAGTAGCATTATATAAATTAGGCGAATTTTACGAATTAGGAAAAGGTGTTGGTGGGAATTTATTTAGAGCATTTGAATTTTATAAGAAATCCGCTGATAAAGGATGCATCGAAGCTCAATATAAAGTAGGATATTATTATGATAATGGAATTGTAATTGACGTTGATAAGGAAAAGGCTTTTGAATTGTATAGAATAGCAGCTAATGAAGGTAATTGTGATGCACAAAAAAGTCTTGCATATTTATATGAACAGGGCACTGGAACAAATAAAAATATAGACAATTCTCTTTATTGGTAATGTCAAGATGCCAAGGAACGTTTACTGTCATAATATTTAATTTCTAGTTTTAAAAGTTTATTTTGTGGTTGAACCATTTATATTAATTAATAATTAATATATTCCAAATAATGTTGTTTCATAATAAATTGATTAATAATTATATGACGGAAAGATTATAAATAAAATATAATATTGTAGAATGTGAAGAAAGTATTAATTGTAACCTAACATATAAGATAGGTCAAGGTTTTGTGAATGATTTACTTATTATTATAATTACTAATTTTGATAAAACAATTATTTCTCTTGCTGGCCGAATCTAGATGTTATTTGCTGATTCAAATTTGAATTTTCAAACTCGAATTATTTTTAAAATCCACAATACCGTGATCTATCGAGTTGGATTAATGAAATGGTAAATCAATACATACACCTCTGATATTCAGGAATTATATGCCTACATTGTCTCTATACAAGTCCGAAAGCTTGTCTTAGGAAAGCACCCTCCCTATCTTTATATGGCCGTAAAACCTATTGAAAATCAAACGCTGCAAATATATTCTTAATTATCTAATAATGACGGCTCAACTATAATTTATATAATACAATTAATCTTCCAATTTACGCAATTAATCACAACCGGAAATATAGAAGAATCTATTTTGTGAGTGCAACAACCTTCAATCTCAGCTAATATACAACCCTAGAAAAGCAAAGTTAGTTTTTGATTTTAGGGGACTCTCAGCACAATTTTAGTGATCTGAATTATAAATTACTTACTCCCTACGAAATTAGGAGATAAAACTTGCTGCATAATAATTTTCGGATTATCTTGAAGAATCTTCTATTGTAATTTGATTAAAACTTAAGAATGTTTACTTTGGTACTGATGTAGTCAAAATGAGCAAATATATCATTTTGGAATTCCAAATCGGAATGATACCATTTCCAGCAACAATATTTCGCAATGTTTTTTATAGTAATTAGATCCAATCATTCTCTCATATTTTCACGATCTGGTCAGGAACCCTACATATTTAGTTATAAAAAATTAATTTGAAATTTTGGATAATTTTATCCACCAGAAGCCTTGAACGATAGAACAACTCGGAAGGTCACTCTAAACCTCAAACGAGATCAGCCCGCTCTGAACCCAGAGGGATATCTGTGCTATATACTATCCTTTAGTTACATATACTGTATCTCGCTCCTCACTCCCAGAATTTTTAACAAAAATGCTCTTACTCACCGCCATATTTTTGCTTATGGCTCACCTTGCACCTGTGGTCTTCTTTTCTTAGCAATCTTCTCGAGACTTGAAGTATAACAATATATCTTCCATTCAAACAGTTCAAATATTACACTCAGAGAAATCGGAAGCTCTGCATTATCCTTATGAATAAACAGTGTCCTAATTTATTTAGACAATTTGGTACGATTTCAGTATCTTAAATCGTACCAATAAGGGTCCAAAATATGGGTTTTTTTTTATTACATAAATCATAAAGCTCATTTTTAAATTACTTGGCAAAATATTGTAGAATGTAAACAAGGATTATATATGACAAATTCATTTTCTGGATTTTTATTTCAAACGTAAAAATCTATTTTAATAGAGATAGTTTGACGGTAGGTTATATTATTAGAATTAATTTAGATTTAGCTTCTTTGTCCCCAATAATCGAACTATTATTTCAGGTTTAATAGTCAAATATTACTATTAGAATAAAATTAAATTAATAGTTTTCTTCAAAGGAATTAAGGAAATATGCTTTGATGCCTAACACGTGACAAGTATTGCATAAATTATAAAATTTTCGAAGGAATTTTCATGAATCATACTTCTTAAGCATAGAAACCTTTAACAATTTAACGATATGACCAATTAATCTAAATACGCACGAGAAAAAGTTGACGCTTTAAAAGTCTCTTATATTAACATTAGCTTCAAAATTCAAACTTAAAAATTTTATAATGCTTCTGATCAAAATTAATCTATAGGATTAAAATTTTAAAATTTGATCTTTTTTTAATGATCAATATAATAGACGAATCATTTTCAAAGTAGTAGTATATATCTCCGAAAATACTATGCTTGAATGGTGTAGTGGAATGCATACCAGACGGGATAGTTCTTGTAATTTATCCGAGAGGTGTTAAAATGTAGAAAATCTTAAATATATATTCCTGAAACATCAGCATAAATGAAATAGCTATATTAGAAACAAATTTATTAATGATTCCTATTTACTTTGATTTGAATGTTTAAAAGAACTTTATATTGAAATACAATCATTATCAAGGGGAACTACTAATTTATGAGATAATGCCTTCGAATAGAAAGCGATTAGTAATAATTCCCTTAGAAACCTGAATTTAGAATTGCTACTTGGTCTGTTTTCTTTATTACTCTTCCACTCGTACTTGCTCATTTTAGTGCACAATAGTAAATAATATCATTACAATGTTTGCTTACTTGCGACTGAAATTAAAATTACTCGTATCATTTATCTCTATTGATTTCCTTTTTGGGTTTTA